AACTGCTCATTTCCATTCAGGTGAAGCGCACGGAGCATTCGGAACGTCTCAATGACGCTGAGAAACGATTTTTAATAGATGCTGTGTCAAGACGAGCATGCCTATGGGATGATCAGGACGCAAATTACAAAAGCCTGAATTGTCGCACGTCGGCCTGGAGGGGTGTAAGCCAGGAAATGGAGACAGAGTTCGAGAAAAAGTTTGATTGTAAGTTTGGTATGACACGTTTTTTGCATCTAAATTTTTCTTCTAGGCGATATACTGCAAAAGACATTCAAGAACCTCCGTGATGTCTTCACGCGCAAACGAAGGGAATGTCAAGAAATCTTGCTGAAGAGAAGCGGAGCATCCGCGGGACAGGTGGAAAAGATTACTTCTTGGCCTTTCTACGCATCATTGCTTTTTTTGGATAGCTCCGCTGATCAAGGGTGGGTACAAGCAGAAATTGCAGTTATTATCTTGTGATTGTGTTTTTAGAGAACGATACTGCAACGTTACCGATACCAATGTGGATCAAGAATACCAGGAGTTGGTGGAGGAGGAAATCATTGACCTCGAGAGCGTAAATGATGAGAACTCGGCGCCCACGGAGCAGGATATGGTAGATGATCAGAATGTACATTTTGTATAGATTGTGCAGCTACTTTTTAAGGGGAACACGAGCCGTCCGTCGTCGGTCAAACCGATAACAGCGCTTACGTCGAAGAAGCGCAAGGCATCAAAGAGTCGTAAGTTTAAGTAACATTCAGCTGTTGTGTCTTGATAATCACTTTCAGAAATGGAAAACATTACTGCCACAATGATGAAAGGTTTTGAACCGATGGACAAGTTTGAGGCCATTGGTAAGAAACAATAAGTTACAATTGCTGCTTTTAAGTAGAATTGTAGGTGTACTTCTTGCGGCAAAATTGCGCGAGCTGAATGCGCTGGATCCTCTTAATGGCGAAGAAGCACAGCTCAAGGCCGAAGAAATGAATATCTACTTTTCCAGGCTCATCTTTAATGCAAAAAACAGTGGAAAATAGGGTCAATTTTGCTCCATTCTGCCTGCTCACGAGTGTTGGATTCTGTTCTGAAATAAGTCGCTACCTTATATCCGGTCTCACCTTTTGAAAGAAGTTATTACTTTATTTCTACTTCTACGGTCTTGCTATGTCTATTTCGTCTATTTTTCTATTCTGTCTTATTTTTACAAATTAGTATTTACTGATCTGCCTGTGAAGTCGCTTACTGGTAAATCTGATCTGTTCCGCAGATCTCATTTGTTTGCATGTATCTGCTGTTTTGCATATTTTGTATTGTGTTTTTTTGTCATTTTCTCTATTTTGGGAAATAAAATGAAGTTCTTCGCATTTTTTGTGTCGCATCCACACGCGAAATCATGTATCGTTGATTCGTTGACCGCAGGGACTGCTCAAACGCGCGGATCGCACGCGGCGCGGCTAAAATGCTGCGGGAGAAAGACTTGTACAATGGTGGATTTGGGATTTGTACTGGGACAAGCGTTTTATCATGCGGCGCGTGCTCCGC